TTATAATTACAAATGATTTTGTGAGTTGCTGATTTCAGGTAAACCTCAAAGTCTTCCTGACCATTTTTATGATTCCAGTATTTAACAAAGCCATTTAATTTCTAAAGAGTGAAGCTGGCTTGCTTTAGAGGTTCCCCCACAGAATTTCACATATATTTCAAATAAATATATACATATACGGAAGTATACACACACACAGAACTCATTGACTTTTAGTTATTCAAGTTGCATTCACGTCACTATTCTATGGTTTATGTGCCCTGTTTAAAAAAAAAATACCACATTCTTAAATTTCCTAGAACAAATGTTATTTAGGCTTATAAATGACTAGTAAAAGTAAATTGTGCAAATTGGTATATAAACATATCAATAAAATTGAGGTAAATCAGTTTATCTTCTTGCTAGACTTGCCTTTGGACACAGAAATATGCTGTAGTTATAGATGTTTACTTATACTTTGGTTTTCAAGGTCATATTGTGTCACATATGCAAAGGCTATTTAATGATAATTTTCATGTTAGTCTTAAAAGATGAATTAGTTTCAAACCCTAGCTTCATTTATTGAAATTTATAGGCACAGTCTCAGTACTCAGGCAGAATGTACGCTATTTTTCTGTTCATTATTTCAATGTGTCTAAAATCTTCCTCCTGTCTCAGAACCTGGAGGCTACAGTGTTTTATTATATAAATCTCTTTGGACATACATCCTATTTTATGGTTTCTTTTGTTCTTTTTTAATAAAATTTTTAGTATGGAAAAATTTAAGCATATGCAAATGTTTATCATCAAACTTTAACAATTATCAATTATTTAGTCAAACTTGTTTCATCTTTTCCATATTCATTGGGTAACAGTGAATAAATCCCCAGAAATCTTACCATTTCATGTTTTCATTATTATTATAGCTAAAGCTAAAAAGACTCTTTAAAAATAAATCACACTATAATCATACTTAAGAACTTTAACAATATTTCCTTGATACCATCAAATAATCAACTTTGGCATATTTCTAATTGTTTCATACTTTTTTCTAGATTTGGCTTATTCAAATCAGAATGCAGCTATGATTTACTATTGCTTTTGGCTGATATATTTGTTAAATCTCTTCTTGTCAATATTCCTTCTTTCTTATATTTTATCCTTTCAAATTTTTCAAATTTTAATTTTGCTAATTGCTTCCCCACATTGTTATATAATGGTTCTCCATTTTGGCTGAATTTCTGGCAACCTGATAGATAGGTTTAGAAAATTAATCATATTTCTCTATGTTTTGGAAAAATAGTTCTTGGCAATGTTGTATAATTATGTCAGGGGTCCAAAATACCTGCTTTACTATATAAAGTGTTAATATTGTTCATTTTGTTTAGTTGTTACAAATCTGATTTATTCTTTGTAATGTTTCCCACCACATGTTAGGGTAAAGACTTTTCATGATAGATGTCCCATTCTTTCATTAGGTGTCACAAACTGGCATAATGTATCAATAATTCTACCATTTCTCCATTTATTAGATTTCATTTAAAAATGTTCATTTTGGCACAAAAAACTAAGATGACACTTACAGGTGATTTGGTGTTGGGGATTATACCAGAGGGGAGAAATCAAACATTGTACAAAAAATGAACAATAATGTAAAAATCAATAAATCAACATATTAAAAATTAGGGGTAGGGGAGATGGAAATGCATCAAACTATGGTGATGGCACATGGGTGATTTGGTGATGGAAAACCCACGGGGATTGTAAGTGAGATGGAAAAATGTACAAAATGATGTAAAAATAAACTATTATATATAAATAAAAAAAAATTGGGACAGTGTATGTAAGTCAACCTGCCAGTTCTGCTTCTACTCTGTTTCTGGTGAATCTTTTCTCACACACACACACACACACACACACACCTCTGCCCCTCCACACACCTCTGGCCTACATCCCAGCTCTTATATGCATAAATAAATAAATATTTAAAAAAATGAAAATAAATAAATAAAAATGTTCATTTTGATAAAGTAAAAAGGAAGTAATACTGGCCACCTATGATGCGTTAGCACTTGCTAGACAATATAGGAAGACAAAATACATACACATCATGGACCCTGAACTAAAAGGAAGAATAATGTGTTCAGGATATTCAGAGAATAATTATCATCTGGTAAGGGAAATATGAAAAGATAGATGAGTTTGGGTTGGTGGGTGTTTTATGAAACCATTGGTCATGTGCTGGACCAAGAAAAATGATATAAAACATGTGTAAAATAAAAAATAGATTTAAAAAAGAAAAATGAAAAGAAATAGGAAGAAAATAAAGTCATTCTAGGTGGAAAAATAGTTTGGACTATTCCATGAGGTTCTTACAAGAAAGATTGTTCTTACAAGAAGGACTATTTTTACAAGAAGGACTGTAGAGATTGTACACTGGCTAGGTTAAAGCGGGCCATTGGATAGGTGTGAGAAAGCTACACTATTTAGGTCCTGTTTTGAAAAATTGACATTATCCCTGTCAAATTTCGGGTATTATCTAGATACATATGGCTGGTAGACTTTGGGTAGATTAGGAAATTAGAGTGAAACGGCCTCATGCACATTTTGAAGTCAGACACAGAGATGTGCTAGGTAAACCCATAGGGAAGGAGGAACACATATCAAATAATGATCACAGAGTGACTGGTGATCAAAGAGAGGATTACAGCAGAATTGGAATGTAAGTGGACACAGGAGGCAAAAAAAAGTAATATCCAGGGTAGAAAAGCAGGATGCAGTGTAATGGCCTAGAAAGGAACTAGTTTTAAACATGAAGAGATGGTTAACAGAGTCAAGTACCACCTTGAAGTTAAGAAAAGAGAAACTGAGTAAACTCTCCTTTGGGTATTTTGAAGGGACATCACTGACAAGTCTTGAAAGGACACTTGATCTTTAGTTTTAAAAAGTCTTGAAAGGACACTTGATCTTTATTATTGCTTTGGCTCTTTAGGGTCTTTTATATATATATATATAATATTTGCTCAATTTTTTTTCTTTTGTAGAATTTCATTGAAACTTTGATAGGGATTTCATTGAATCAATAGATTGTTTTGTGTAAAATAAATATTGAGACTATGTTAATTCTTCCAATTCATGTTCATTAAATATCTTTCCATTTCTTTAGGACACTTGAGTTTGTCATATCATATAATATAGATGGAAGATAGGTTACAGGAAGGAATGGGTTAGAAGCAAGAGGTCAGGACAGAAACCACAAACCTTTGTGTTCAGGAAAGAGGTTCCAAAGAAGAAAGTAAATGTGATGAAAAGGATAAGCAGTAGGGAGAAGGAGTGTTTACTCTGAGTGATTGAAAACCAAGCCTGAATTCCATTATTATATTAATGAATGGGGAAATTTTTAGTTTTAGAAAACAAACTGATAATGAAAGCTTAAAAAAAAGATGAAACATTTATTCATTTTACTAATATTTGTAGGATATTTTATTAAATTTTCATTTTATATACTATAAATGATGAGTCATACCTATAGCAAATGCGTAAAGGTATGAGGTAATTAATTTATAAATTAATAAATCTAGTTTCTTCCTTTTATAGGAATTCTGCCTGCCTGTCTCCCCTCCTCCCTTCTTCCTTAACTATATGTATACATAGAACACATTGAGTGTCATTACTTTGTTAGTTTCATTGGTCTTCTGTGTACAAAGGTAAATGCATATTTGCTATAAAAGTATCACTTGCACAGAAAGGTTTAAAGAATGAATGTTTTAAAATCCTATGAAATGATGCTATTCATAGATAGCCAATGTTGTTACTTTGGTAATCCCCTCCAAAATCTCTTTCTATATATAGATATATAGTTGAGATTTCATATTAATAATGCCATAATATTAACGTGCTTTTGTCCCTTCATTTTTGCATTTAATAATGTTGTAGGAGATTTTATGTCAATGAATACAGCTATTAGCATCCTTTTTCAATGGCTATCATTGTACCATAATGCACCATTACTTTTAGCTATCTCCTGTTGTTAGACATTTAAACTCTCCATTTTATTTTGTTTAATCAGCCCTGCATTGAATATACCTGTGAACAAATAGTGTGCACTTGTTCAACAGATTGTGTTCTTATTCAGTTTCCCTGAAGTGGGGCTGTGGCACAAAGGTTATCCATTTTTTCTATTGTGATGCATACTTACATGTTGCTCAGTATCCTTCGGGGAGACTGTATCAATTCTACTTCTACCAGTAAAGCATATCTGTACCCAGGAAATTATTTTACATATCTTTAAAAAATATGTTCTTCGGCCTTCCCTGGTGGCGCAGCGGGTTAAAGCACAGCACTGAGAATCTAAAGCTGCTTCTGCATGAGTTCAATTCCCGCCTGCCCCGGAGGTGACCACATGGTGTGGCAGACCTCTCCTGACCCCCCCGCTGCTCCCCTCAGCAGTGTACTTCGTTGATCTGCCTGTTCTGTTCCCCACTCTGTCTCTGGTGAAGCCTCTCACCGCCCATGAGCCTCTGGCCTGTACCCCAGTTCTGTATGCACAAATAAATAAATCTTAAAAAAAAAAAAGTTCTTCTTTCAAGCTCATTTTCTTCACTTCCAAAATAAGCAATGCAATATATCATTGGTTTTTAAGCTTTTTAGGATCTTTGGATCATTTAAGAATTTTAAAAATCTACAGAACTACTTTCCACAAAAGCACACGTGTAAAAACACAGAAAGTTTTATGTACTATTTATGGGAATTCACAATTTTTGAAGTCAGTTTATAGACTATTCAGGATTTTACTCCTTAAATCAAATAATCTCAAAATGAGGCAATTTTAAAGTTGCTTACTCCTTTTAGCACTAACATACAAATACACACCTTGAACACATATCACATTCTCATGTGCACATCAAATTTTTATGTGTATCTGGGAAAATTTTGACATGTACTTGATATCAAACTTAGTCTTGCAATCTGTAAAATCACTTAAGCATGCATAGTCATTGAAATGGATTCTATTTATTTAGGTTCTTCAGTGGAGAGTCCACCAGGAAGAGGTAGCAAGACTAGAAATGGAAATTTCTGCCAGAAGAAGAGAAAAGGAAAAGGAGAAAAAGAAATTGTGGAAGAAGAAGAAGATGTTACAAAGAGAAGAGAAGAAAAATCAAGTATGAAATCTGCTGTTGCTGTGAATGTGTGAATGAATGTTTATTTGCCTGATTGAATTGTGATTGATCTCAGTCTTTGTCATGAAATTATAGGCAGTTCTCAGAAAGATTGATAGGGCCTGGTGGGGTCACTATCAGTTTATTCGAATTGCAAAGATTTGTGGGCATGGAGAACTCATTTGATTGATGTGCATGAGCACAGATACTTGTGACTAGAAGAGGTGATGTACATAAAGAGAGGATTGCCACTGTTAGGTCTTATACTAAGTAAGGATATGGCAAAGACCAGAGGTTCTGGGATAGCATTTTGGCTGACTGAGTACAGAAAGTGTCAAAAGATGTCACTGTGAAATATATCATACTGAAGCAAGGACAATCTGTGGAATACAAGAAAAGCCCTTTAGAGAACTCACATCTGGATTTTTTTTTTTTCATGAAACATATTCATCACTCTACTTTGGAGCAGGCATTTATTTCCCAGTTTTCAAAATACGAATCAAACACTTATTAATACCTTTAAAAGGGTTGCTGATAACCTGTGGAAAGTAAAACATATTTGAGGGGAGATTTTTTAAATACATATAGGATACTTAAACATTTTTTTTTCACATCACAGTTTATAGAATTTGTAGTAAAACATTTCTGTGGGAGATTTTATAAAATTTATTTCCTTTTTCATAGAATTGCTGACTTCTGTGGAAATAATTCACAAAAAGGAAATGGGTATTCAATTCTATAGTCTAATATACCTATATGGAATTGATCTGCATGATATAAAAAATTATTTCTTTAGGAAATCTGCTTAAAGTGCTGAGAATGATTAGTTCATAGTTCATGCTGGGCAAGCTTTTTTGTTTTTGTTTTTGTGAACACAGTTGACACTATGCTATTTAAACAACAGGGCTTATGAAGCATTTGTCTAAAAGTTTTTCTTCAAAACTGACTTGTGGAGGAATAGAGGTACTCAGATTTTAAAGCTGTAGTCAGGTTTTCTGTATTTTTTATTTTCCAGTTGTTGTTCTTGCTTGTCCTGTTCCCTTAAGTCATGTAGTAACACCATACATAAAAATTACATGATTATTTGACAAAGTCAGTAGCTAAAAGATGTAATTCACAGTTTAATTTCTAAGGATCTAAAGTAGATAGTTTCATCATTTCCCTTTAAGAGAGTTGATGGTTAAAAGATAAAACTGCATAAATAGCTGAAAATCATATTTCAAATAATGTATGTGAACTATGCCTCTTTATGGAAGGTATTTTCTGTTATATAACTACAATAATGGAAAAGTATATCTTTATTAATTATGTTGTCTATCTGAGTTTCTTTCATAGCATTTCCCACCTATGAGTTGGTATGGCCATGAAAAGTAATGTATTTTAAAGTATCTGTTTACATAGAGTGCTATCTTAAGTGCCTTATAAAGAGGCTGAGAAGAAGTTCCAATGCTGCGGCCTTAAACAGATAGTGAAAGAATACCCATACTAACTAACTCAAATATTGAGAATTGGAGTTGAGCATTTAATTGTTAAATTTGAGTAGGGGAATTAGCATATTTAAACAGGAGAAAATGGAGGGACATCGATAGCTGTCCCCTTTGCATTCTGTAAGATTTGTAGAAGCAAGAGAAAGATATTTTGAAAGATGGGAGAGAGACCTTGAGCTAACAGATTAGCTATTGATATTTAACTTGAGATTTGGCTTGACACCAAAATAGCAATAACAGCAACAAAACTAACAGTAATGTAAGAAATAATTAGACAATGATAATGGCTAAGGTAATCAAAGGGCTATCCCAAGTGCAATTTAAAACAAGAGAGTACTTATGCTTAAAAGACTGAGCATTTTAGCACCATTATCATATGGGTAAATTGAATGTAAACATACTTTCCACAGTTTGGAATGCAAGATTCATTTATTTCTATAGTATTAAGGAAGTATATTTTAAAGATCATTTTTAATTGAAGTAATATGTAATATTTGTGGTTTTGCTTTTATGCTGAATTTAAAAAAATGACTTCCTAAAAATATCTAATTTGTGAATTCCAGAAGCTTGAAATATACTAAGTTTACATTTGGGGTATGCATTTTTATTGATATATTGTATTTTAAAGGTAATATTTGTGTGTTCATATCTATTGCCACCACAGTGCTTTTGAAAAGATCAAATTCTCTATTCCTAGAATATATTTTTTGGCTCTACACTTGCATGTTCCTAAATTGCATGTAGGTATAATGTTACTTCTGCACTTTCTACCAAAGGGCTTAAGAAATGACTATGAAATACATTTATTATTTTATGTACATAGATTAGAGGACAAATTAAGAGTTTTTGAAAGCTCTAAGTCAAATTCATTATCAACCTCTTGTAATTGTATAGGATAAGACATATTGTATTTTAATGATTTTCTTTTGTAAAAACTTCTGACATTTAGAAGATTTTTTAAGTACAGAAGTTGATGTTATAAGCATATGAGCAATCACCTACTAAGGAAAATGTTAGTTTTTTTCTGTTTTATTTCAGAGCTATCTTGGACTGTTTTCCCCAAGAGACATGGGGTGCACTGACTTTGAATTCCATCTTTATTTTCAGCATTGGAGCACTGTGTGTGTGTGTTGAATTATAGTTTGTCCAAAATATCCATGTGTTACAAGTGAGAAAGGAGATTCCAGTATCAATTCAGACATACTGACCAAAGTTCTCGATCGCTTTAACTATTTTATCTGTTAGAGATAAATTTTAGTTCTTTCAAGTTTAACAGCATCTTGCCAGAACTCTACTCTGCCACCTTAGGCAACTCCCCCTGACTTGAGTCTGGTTTCTTTATTAAGGTGTGCTCTGATACTGTTTCACACCTGTCTTTCTCTTCTCACAAAAGAGCAGCAGTAGAGATCAAGAAATTATGCTGCCTTAGGATTTCTGAACAAGTGAGCAGTTTATTCCTATTCTTTTTCCCAGAAATTTATGTTTTAGAGTCCATTTGCTGCAAAAAATAATTTAATTTGTATCCTATGCCAAAATTTACCCTGATCCTAAAAAGCATCGTTCAAATCTGCCTTTATCTTATTAGATAACATTTTCTTTTGTGCTTTAAAACTTTAAACAATAGTACTCAGTTTTCATAGTTTTATCTCAAGATTCAAGAAAAAGTATTTTATATATATGTGTGTGTATGTATGTGTGTGTGTATATATATATATATATATATATATATATATATATATATATATATAATTGAGGTGATATCAATTTAAAACATTGCTTGTGTCTTGCAGGTACAGGATCTCCCCTTCAGGAATTATTATCACACATAATCCACTCCCAAGATACTATTACAGTTCATTGTGCACTGTCCACGCTCTGTTTCAGTTTTTTCACCCCCCTGTCTCAGTTCTACCATCAGATTTCTAGAGTTTGCTATTAGTTTGGCTTTATCTGACTTTTTGTTTCATTTCTCTATACTCCACATTTATGTGACACCATCTGGTGTTTGTCTTTCTTCTTCTGATTTATTTTGCTTAGTTTAATTCCCTCCAGTTCCATCTATGTTGCTACAAATGGCAAGAGTTCAGCTTTTCTGTCCCTTTTTTTGGGATTGAATCATTTGTTTTCTTTGTTAAGTCGTATGAGTTATTTGTAGATCTTAGATATCGGTCCTTTGTTGGATGTATGATATACAAATATTTGCTATCATTCAGTAGAGTGTTTTTTTTTGTTTTGGTGACAGTTTCTTTGAATGTGTGTTTGCTGTGCAGAAATGTTTTAGTTTGATGTAGTTTCAATTGTTTTTATTCTTTTCCCCCCTTGCTGTTAGAAATGAATTCACAGACATCTCTGATGCTTGTGTTGTGGAGTGCTTTCTTCTATGTGCTTTATGGTTTTAGATGTTACATCCAAAGTCTTTTTGAGTTGATTTGTGTATATTGGGTGAGATAGTAACCTAGTTTCTATCTTTTGCATGTGGCTGTCCAGTTTTCCCAGTATCTTTTATTGAAGAAGCTTCCCTTGTTCCAGTGTATATTCTTCACTCTCCTGTCATAGATTGACTGTCCATAGAGGTGTGGGTTTATTTCTGAACTCTCAATTCGAATCCAATTGTCTGTGACTATTTTTGTTCCAGCTATACTGATTTGATTATTATAGCTTTAAGTGTAAATGATACCACCATTCTTCTTCTTTTTTGTTAGGATTGTTTTGGCTATTTGGTATCTTTTGGATTCCACATGATGTTCAGTATTGTTTTTCTGTTCTTTTGAAAAAAGCCATCAGAACTTTAATAGGGATCGCATTGAATTTGTTATTGCTTTGGGTAAGATGGTCATTTTGAGAATGTCAATTCTGCACTTTATGAGTAGGGTAACATTCTTCTTTTTCTTTTTTTTTTTTAATAAAGATTTATTTATTTGTGCATACAGAACTGGGGTACAGGCCAGAGGCTCAGGGACGGTGAGAGGCTTCACCAGAGACAGAGTGGGAAGCAGAACAGGCAGATCGACGAAGTACACTGCTGAGAGGAGCAGCGGGCGGGTCAGGAGAGGTCTGCCACGCCATGTGGTCTCCTCCGGGGCAGGCGGGAATCAAACTCATGAGGAAGAGGCTTTAGATTCTCAGTGCTGCGCTTTAACCCGCTGCGCCACCAGGGAGGGCCTCTTCTTTTTCTTTTAACACCATCTTATAGTTCTATTTGCATAGTTACTTCAAGTCCTTTGTTAAGTTTATACCTTTTTGATTTAATTGTAAATGGGATTGTTTATTTTTTCCTGTTCTAGTTCATTGCTTTCATATAGGAAGGCAGCTAATATTTGTGTATTGATTTCATAACGTGCCACATTGCTGAACTGATTTATTATTTCAATTAATTGTTAATGGAATCATTCTATATATATAATCATGCCATCTACAAATAATAATAGCTTTACTTCTTCTTTCCCAACTTGGATTCCTTAATTACTCTACCTAGGACTTAATTACTATACCTAGGACTTTCAATACTATGTTGAA